CTTTCGCGTTCACCCCTCGTTTACGCAATTTATATTTATTTTTCAAGAATTGTTAATCGAAATCGCAACAGACTGCAAGCAAATCTATAATCGCACATGATTCATGTACATATCATAGTAAACTACGTATTGTTTTCAACCAAAATGCACCTGATTAACCCATTTAGGAGAATGATATTGTATCCAGGCAACTCGGAGATCTGGAATCGTTTGTTCGTATCCAGGGTGTTGTTGCTCAAAGAAAGTCATAATTATTAAGAATAAGCTCGTGCGAACAAATAAATTAGTTAAACGGATACGTTTGGGACAAAGAAAGAGTACTTTCCTAGTAAATGCTAAAAAAATAGAAACGAGCCAAAAAGTAGTATTACTATAATAACACGGACAGAGGAGTTGGCAATACAATCTGAAAATAATAAACATTAGGAACAGAGGTGACTCGAAAGGGGGCATTTGTATAGGTACACCTTTCAGATCCATTGACATTCTTCATTTTTAAACCAAAATATCAACCTGTAGAAGCAAAAAATAAAAAACTTAACAGTATGGGCCAAGCAGCACTGGGGAATAATAAATTGAAAATAATTCATAAAATAACAAGTTATTCTTAGCTAGCTAGGCTACTTTCATAAAACAGATCCTGTAGTTTGCTATGCCATTCTTATTTGAGGGAATGGCGACCTCTTTTAAGGGGTGATCTGTTCCTATCCTCAGTGCACGTATACGATTCAATCAAGACAGTAAAGTCACACAACCTCTGAAAGAAGAATAAACGTTGACCACGAATTATGTGTATTGGGTTGGTATTTATCTGATTGAATATGCATATTAACCACTCATACTATCATTTTGGGTAAACATGGCGGGCCCATGTACAGACTCTGAAATGAGGAACAGCACAATGCATTGCATTGAAAGGAATTTGTCAGTTGTTCAGCGGAAACTGAGACAAACAAAATAATAATAAACAAAAATTCTGAAAAAAAGCATATCTGATTATTATGAACTGTAAAACACTCGACCTGAAACAGGTTCAATAAATAGAACATGATTGATTTGTAGTCAAAAGTGCCGGGTATACTATATATAGTCCGTTAGTACCTTCCATGATATAGTATAGTATTGTGAGTAGTTAAGGTCGTATTATAGGTACGACCAT